AAATTTAAATCAAACATTCCTTCATTTACAATAGTCAGTTAAATCATATCCATTGACTTTATAGGTATGCACAATGGAGGTCACAAGAACTAACTAAACCATTAAAGTTATACCAAATCAAAAATACTAATGCACGTCGTACTAATTAGGCAAGAAAAATTAAGATCTCAATTTTTGCTCCACTTGTATTGATATAAACATGCTAAAAATGTACTAGTGTTAGGAAAGGAAATATTGTAAACCTCGGTACTCATTTGTAGTCAAGTTCGAAAAGACTAATCATATCAATCTTAACATGGAAGTGCTATTTACTTTGTTTCAAACTTGTTTTAGTAGTGTGTCCAACTCTAATGGTTTACGTGTAAGCTCAAATCTACTGCTCCCAACGTTTTTGGTTCACCATTGCCAGACAGCTTTAAATCAAAGGTGTGAGCGAGATGCTGGGTAACGTATTCCACCGAAATAAAATTAGAAATACGCAGGTGTGCAGTAGTCAAATAAACTATGTAGGCGGAAATACATACACTTTGATCTTCAACATTACAAAATAAAATGTACACATAAATATATTACCAAAAACTGATCTCAATGTTAATGTCTTCTATAAGGAGTTGGATTGTTTAGATTTTCTAAATTTAGCCAACTAGTATGAATAAATCGTATTGTGACGGAATAAAGGAATTACTTTTTATATTGTTTACTAGTCTGTACGATCCATATCAACGTTTCAGAATGATAACTGGTGTATCAACTAAGCAACAAGGTTTCGGCTAGATTTAAGAAAAGTTACATTGAAAGTTTAAAACTTAGGTTGGTAACCATCATGGATTGACATCATTTGGATAGACATAGGAAACCTGGGAGCAATGGACAGCTGTTTCTTTCTCATTAGTGATTATCTTTGAGAGGTGATTCCCGAAATTCAAATGAGAACTCGTGACCTGTGGAGCCAACCAAGTAGAACATTAGGACAGTTACTCAACGGCGGCTTTGGATAGAGAACGCACTATTTCGTGAACTGACAGAAGTTTTGAAATAAGGACCGTTGGATCCCTATGCAGTGGCTCAATTGCAACGTGCCGGCCGCGAGACCTGAGGGCCTCGATCCCAGGGGGGTCATGGGTGCACACTTCTGAGGAGTTCCACACTAGGATGATACAGCTGTCCAGCGCTCCCATGTTTCCAATGTTTTTCCAGCTGATTTCAGTCCATAATAAATACCGATCTGAAATCAATAAATAAATCCCCACAAACCTAAAAATTGGTTTAAAACTTGTTTATTCACACTATCCCTTCTCTAAAAGGCAAAAAAACCTCATTCTTACTCATTATTTTGTAACATTAGTTAAAATACCAGTTGGAGAACGTGACTGGTAAAATGAATAACAAGATAAAATTCAGGAGGCTACAATACTAAACGATAAGAGAAAACTAAAGGATATTTTAGAAAGATCAACAAGTTTATTACTCCCTGAAGTGATGATAGTTGACGAGTAAAATGGAAACAACCTCGGAAAAGAAAGAAATCATTTCGAAAGTAAATTTTTATCAAGCAGAACATAAGAATATTAACAGGAGGGAAGAACAAGAATAATTTGGAAATAGAAGAACAAAAAGAAAAGAGATCTAATTAAAATAGGACAGAGTCACACAATCACCTAGCATGTAAAATCATGAATAAAAAGCGAGAAGAAAGATATAGAAAGAAAACATCAGCTACAGAATATCCACGAGAACACCTATACGTTGTCTTGTCAAAGCATTTCTTAAATGTAAAAGTTTATATATAGTGACAATTTGTCAGTAGTTAAATTGCTATACCAATTTGTACTTAATTTGGCGCATGATAAAATTTATTAGGCTTGAAATCGATCGTTTAAGTGACAAAAAATACTTTACTTGCGAAACTTAAGTCCTGGACTTCTCGTCAGTTGCTTCTGACCACCTAGAATAAATCAAAGTGCACCACAATGGTTAGGCCTTCAGCTTGGTGACCACACTGCAAAATGACCAGTAGAATTCAGCCACTATTTAGGACAAGACCAGACGAAATTGACTGCTCTCCAATGAGAAATCAAAGTCAGTGATTTTCCGCAAGCTGATATTACCACTATCTTCTGCTTGTTTTTATGCATGCTTTTCTCTCTTTGTTTTTGGTTGGAATGTGTTGTATTTTTGATCTGAATGTATTGTAAGCTGTATTTCTGTACCATCCATACTCGACCGACAGCTACCACTCTGATGTGGTGGCCAGGCTTGTATATACAATGACTCAACGAGTTATGTTGTTGCAAACATTTGTTGCTTTAATTCTGACCAGAATAGGAAGGTATATTGGACAGCGATAAGAAAGAAGCAGTTACGACAGTAGTATAAATAGCTACGTGGTGATAACGGTTGGATTTTGAAGACAAATTTCTAGTTGAATGTAGTGTGAAAACGGCAAAATGTTCCACGCAGATAACCAAAAGTCTATGCACACACTACCATCCCTATAGACAGAGGGGATGATAGAAAAGTTTAACCCCAAAAACAGCCCACTCTGCCTTGTGGTGTTCCATGCCAATGGTATGAGTATTCCGGCTGTATTCGACGCAAACAAACCTAAATGTCAAAAATCACCGTCTGTGATGAACCTGAAGCATATTTCTCTCAGGATCCTTAGTCTTAACTCTTTTCTTCCTCATGTAACGCAAAAAGAATCAACCTTCCTTGATTTGGGGCTCTGGAATTGTAAAATGTCTTCAAATCTCTGTCAGCGCTCAAGTCATTATCAACCTTCCAAACCTTTTCCTTCTAATGTTTCATCACATCACTCAGTCAATATTCCTAGTTCATTTTTGACCAATCTCAACTCCAAGAGGCTTTAGCAACGATCTGAATTCTTGGAAAGACTTTCTTCTTCTTCTCTTGTTCCCATGTTCCAAGCTAATTATCATAGCCTTGAATGTCTGCACTGTCCAACAAAACTATCATCTAATGATTTTATAGCCTACACGTAGTTGAAAAGAGGGTGACACCGAAGCCAAACTCACGAATTGTGAACCTGAGAAAACCAGGTAGGTTTCATACCTGCATACAAGTGTGCCGACCAGTGGTTCATCCTCCCCTAGATCTTGAAACACAGACACTCTTACTGATGGTTGATACTGGATGTATTTTGTGACCTAAAGGCGGTGTTCGACTCAGTTGACCGAGAAGTCTTATGGTACTGACCATCACTAAAGGTGTGCCTGGTAAGTATATCACTCTCTTGAAAGCTCTGTACTCGAACACCCGTGAACGTGTTAGAGTTTATGTGGAGTTATCAGGTGAGTTGTGTACGTCAAGTGGTGTCCACTACCGTCGTTCGTAATTAGTTTTGTCATAGGAGTGCTGGTAGAAGTCTCCGTCTCCTCTCTATCTGAGTTTTCAGAGGCTGAGATTGTCACTGAAGACTCCTTAAGAGAACTGGATTACGCCGATAAGATGGTCCTGCTGAATGAAGACCCTGACAGGGAAACTTGAATTGGCATTTGAGAAATTTTCGAATGCGTTTATGACAATCCCGTACGTGCAAACTGTTTTTTTAGGACTAGTCTGCTTTTCTGCTTCTTCTAAAAATAGGGGGTAGATGCGTTGACCATCTCACCTAATTGGGTAATCAGATGAACCCTGGTGGTCAATAACCAACAGAATCTTTGCTTGGGTGCAAATGCTGGCTTGGCTCTTACCAGCTTACACCATATGGGGACCTGATGTAATATTCTATTGCTCATGAAGTGCCGACTGTGCCATGCAGCAATTTTGTATGTTCTACTCTAATAATATCAAAGATTGTGATTCAAGCTGGAGGAGATGTAAAGGCTTCAGGTGTTAGACACTGTAGCCTTCGTAGCACAGGAAATGTGTCGTGGTGCTATCACTTCAATTCAATAACACAGAAGTTATGCGTAGAGTTTCAGCCTAACGAGATAAGTCGGTTAAATAGTTTGTAAACCTTTGTGGACTAAGATAGCTTGGGCACGTGCTATAGATAACAATCTGCCGCGTCCCCTACTGTCAACTGAAATTGGTGTAGGCTTGAAAAGTTGGAGGTGACTAGACTAAAACATAACACCAGTCCATAAAGTATATAACTGTTAGGTTGATTCTTGTAGGGTAGTGTTGACTTTCCCAGTAGTTGTTCAGAGGACAAGTGAAACCAGTGGTTGCAAATATGAATAGAAATTGATCTAAGTGACGCAAATTTACTCACTTGTGAGCTTAATTATCATATAGAATCTCGGTATTTTTGGATCTTCCCTTCCTCTCTCTATGAGTTTCTTCCTTATTTTTCTGCTAGATCTTAGTGCTTTCTACCCTGATGTGATGGTACGAGGTGTGGTAACTTAAACTATCACACAATGCAATCACGTTTTATGTTTATTTTGACCAAGTGACTGACTACCTCATTACTTTTCAATAATGTCTTTTTAACAATGGTTCTTAGGTGCATCCTTCGCATATTCAAGTGTAAACAGTAAGGTATTCTATACAGGCCAAATAGCTTCACGGTAGCTTCCTGAGGTGATTCGCAGACGAATATCTGGTGAGCGTATCACTAACTGCGTATTTTGAGAATTACTGTACAGGATTTTAGGACCTGATATGTAGTTCTCACTATCCAACTCCTTAAGACTACTCTATTTCTCATATAAGTGAACTGGTCAATAACCATTCGGTGACGGCTAACGCTAAACCATCGTTTCGCATTCAACAGGCATGAATAAAATTTCAGCATCAATCACATTTTTTTAACAGATGCATAAAGGTGCTGACATTCTATAACTTTCAGCACTGAAGATTATATTTTCTCAGTACGTCAGACAATGATCTGGAAGTAGTTTTATCTCGAAGACGTCAAATTGAAGTCAACCTAATTTATGCTAAGAATACTCACGATGCAGATGGTTCTATCGGTACATCATATTTTTAAGAAGCTTGATGTAAGAATTTGGATAGGAACAGTGAAAAGTATTTCAGTTCATGTCAAAAAATGGTCTAATCTGATTTAATGCATGAAATTCATCATTATTATTTGTCCCTTGGGTTCCTAGTGGAACATAGGGCTTCACTATCACGTCTCCATTGCACTCTCTCTCTACATTCTTTTCAACATGCCTCTACGAATGCCCACAAGCTTTCATTTCTTCCTCACACCATCTCCTCCATGTCGCTCTCGCCTCGGATGCCCAACTCGTCGTTTACCATGCGAGTTCCACTCCAGGGTCTGGCCTGGCGCTTGATGCATCCAACGGTCTTCTCAGTGTATGCCCAATCCATCTCCACTTTCTTTTGCACATCTGTTCGGTGACAGGTTCTTGGTTTGTTCGTTGCCAGCCAGCCAGCCAGAGTTCCTTGTTGCTTACTTATTATTCTGTCCATCCATCTGATCTTCAGTATGGAGTGAGGGTAGGTGGCAGTAGTTGATGAATGTCTGCAGTTTGTTGC